GGCATGTGGTGCTGGGGGATCGAACCGCGGTCCCTGATGCTTTGCCAAGCTTGTTCTAAGTAGGTGCTTTAGACCACTGAGCCATCTCTCCAGCCCAAAAAAGAATTTTAAAGAATGGAATTTTGCCAAGTTAAATTGTAGAGTAATTGCTAGTGCCAGTCTGTTTAATTCAAATCAGCAGTCATAAAGTCATGTTGGAAAATGGTGAACTGTCTTTTCTCCCCCAAAATTGTGAAATCTGAAACAGAAAAAGGAAACTTAATTTTCATTCATTAAAAATACAACTGTAAGAAAAATGAATTCGTTTTCTAATTTTTCTACCTCTGATTAATAGTGCAGAAATGTTATGCTTTTTCATGTATATGTAGTTGTGTATCTTGAATTTAAAAATATGAACATATATGCTCTCAGGGATTAAAAGTTCTTTTTAAAGTATTTCCTTAGGAAATATAAATTTTACAAATTGTAATTTGTCACAGATAATTGGTATACATTTGTTATTAGAAGTCTATATATGTATACATATATATATATATGTGTGTGTGTGTGTGTATATATATATATATACATATATATATATTTAAGTTGGATTAATACAGCTTTATAGATCATTAACTTTGACTTTCAATACAAAGTGAAATACTGTGAGTCATGTTACAATAGGCTCAACAAAGAGTGCATCCGAGAATTGCAGCAGCAGATTGAAGACCTCCAAAAGTCTTTGCAAGAACATGGCTCCAAGTCTGAAGGCGAAAGTGTAAGTAACTTAGAACCTGTAATCTGTTGTGTATAAATTCTCTTAATGGTTCCTGATACCCAAATTAATTGTGTACTTGAAAGTGCTACCCTTATCATCGAGGATACTCTTAAATACCATATATATCTGTGTAACAGATGCAGAAATATTTGTCAGCTAGGAGCCAATACATTAATGAAATATAATATAAGGTGATTTCTGTCTCTCCCACTTTAACACAGACACTTGACTGTCAATTAAGGAAATCTCCTAATAGGAAAACAGAGAATTAAAAACACAAAAAGTTTTGGCCAAATGATCCTTCCAAGAAATGAAATGAGAAAAGCCTCTGTGCAGTGTTAAAGACATTGTTCCATGTACTTCCCCATTTCCACACTCATTCCTTTGTATCAGCCATTTTCTGATGGCTTTTGGTGGCACCTAGTATGAGAGCAGAGATAACAGGGCTCAACAAGAGATCACGTTTAGCCTGAATCTCAGTTCTGTAATTTGATTGCTATATGTGGAGAGGAAAGTAAATACTGTTGAAAGGATGTATTTAATTAAAAATGTACCAAAACAGTAGGGCTACATTGTACTGCAGAGATACAGATTGTTTGAGATTAGATACAATGGTGATTATGCCTGTGTTGGCAGTGGCGGGAAATCCAGAGTAAGTAGAGATGAAAAGGACATTGGAGAGTTTTCTTTTTTTCATTTTCTCTTTTTTCCCTAAGGGTTGAGGAAATAGAAATTGTATTACTCATGTCTACATCTTCCATGTGGATATATACAGTGTCATACCTCTTTAATGCAAATATGTTTAGCCACATTAAAGAATACTATAAAAATGGACTTTAGGGGAGACAGTTTGGGTTGGAGTGTTGAAGGAATCTTGATTTCTTTATCTTTTATTTTTAATCTATTGGTGTCCAAGTTATATTTCAGATTATGTATTTTAAACCTTCTAGTTATTTAGTTATTGCAGAACTGCCATGATAGTCTAATGTACTACTCTTTATTATTTTTATTTACTTGTTTATTTCTTTATTTTATATTTTAAGGAAGGGTCCACAGGGAGTTCAGGGTCTCACTACTAGATCGGACTTGTAGTGATTCTCCTGTTTACAGCCTCCCAAGAGCTGAGATTACAGGTGTGTGCCACCACACCCAGTCTCAATGTGTTCGGGGGGCGGGACTGGTACTGCAGGCCCTGGGGATTGAACCCCTGGCCCCTGTGCCTGCATTGCAGGCACTTTAATCCACTGAGCTATTTGGCTGGCTCTCTGTCTAATGTACTACTCTTTAAAAGACTAAATTTTATGCTTTATTAAGGCAAAGTGTAGTGTTCACATGAAAATGTTGGCATTACTGATGATTAAATTTTATTATTAAAGGTAAGTCTTAAAAATTTTTGTTTGAAAAATGATTCTTTATGGCTCAGTGGAATAAGCGCTTCCCTGGCAAGTGCAAGGGCCTGAGTTCAATACCCAGTTCCAAAAAAAAAAAAAAACTTAAAGAATATAAAGAATTGAAATGTTTGTATATCGCGTTCACCTTGCATTTAGTATTGTTTTTCAAGATTATGTCATTTTTATTGCGTTCAGAAGTACTTTTTCTTTTTTTCATATTACTCTTTCATGTTTTCCTTTTTTTTAAATGTAAAAGCATACCTAAAGTTGTATGCTTTAAAAATATAATTAGAAATACGAATTGTAGAAATTTAAAAGTTATAATTTTACCTTTAAATGGAGATAAAAAGATGTCTGGAAAATTTAGCTTTGTAAGCTAATCAATTTATAGAAACTGTTTTTTAATTTTATAGTCCAGCAAACTAAAGCAGAAATTGGAAGCTCATATGTAAGTAAAACTGATATTTCATTTCAAATATCAGAGGGGAGGGGTTATAAAAGCTTCTGAAATTAATTTCACTTTTCAAATTTGATGAAAAAAGCAAGCACAGGGCTGGTGAGATGGCTCAGTGGTCTAAAGCACCTACTTAGAACAAGCTTAGCAAAGCACAGGGACCACGGTTCAATCCCCCAGCACCACATGCCAGCCAGCCCCGCCCACTGGTGAGCTGAGCTGGCCACACACACACACACACACACACACACATAAATAAATAAATAAATAAAATAAAAATTTTAAAAAAAGCAAGCATTGCAGCATTACCACCAGAAAGTGAAAAGAAAAGCCTGCTAAAAGTCGCAGTCTGGCAGCCACCCCAAACTCATATTTTGAAATTGTTAACATCATTTGAAAAGTTTAAAAAAGCAGACAGCTATCATTACTAGGTTTATGGATGTTAAGCATATCAAATAGTCTTCCCTTTTCTTCCTGGGAGGTGAAGTTGGCAAGGGAAAGTTTTTTTAACCCCTTTGCCACCCATTGTGTGCCAGGCAGTGCGTATCCTTATGACAGCCAGGTGTGTCAGGCAGGTATAATGTCCATTTCCATATAAAGAAACTGAAGATCAGTGATGTGTCCAGATTCACAACTGGTAGAAGGCAGAACCAGTTTTCATCCTTAATTCTGTATCATTCCAAGTTTATACTCTTTCCACTGCTTAGGGAAAAACTAACAGAGGTCCATGAAGAGTTACAGAAGAAACAAGAACTCATTGAAGATCTTCAGCCAGATATAAATCAGAACAGTAGGTATTTGTAAAAATTTGGATCAAGCTATATCTAAAGATTTATTTTCTCTTTTTGAAAGACACAAAATCTATGTATACAAATCACTTTTGCAGGCTACATAGACCCACATGTTAAATAGTTAAGAATCATGATAACTTACAGCGCTGAGGTAGGAGATAATGTAAACTCAATAAAAAAAAAATGTAAATCCAGTACAGTGAACTGATTAATGTATGAGAATATCAAGCATAAAATGTAATAGAATGAAAACTAGAAATGTAATTTCAAATTAGACTAAATGGAACTTCAAAATGATGCCTTCTTTATGTTATATTGACATTTGAAAGTATTTGCTTATTGAAATGATTGATAGAAAAATAGCTAGGTAAAGTAGGTTCTGGATAATAATTGAACAAAAAGTATTGCTTGTAGTTCCAAAGTTTCAGGTAAGAATTCATGACAAAGAAGAAATAGTTTCTTATTTAAATTCTCTTATTAGTCTTTTTAAAAATAAGTTTGATAAGTACAATTTTGTTCAAGGATGTGTTATTTTAAGAAAGTAACCATGTTTCATTTTACTTTCTCTGATAGTACAAAAGATCAGTGAACTTGAGGCTGCTCTTCAGAAGAAAGATGAAGATATGAAAGCAATGGAAGAAAGATATAAAATGTACTTAGAGAAAGCCAGAAATGTGAGTGACCTATTTTTCAGAGCTCTAACCTTTGCGGCCTATGAGGACTGGTTCTCCTGATTGTACTGCTCCTGTTGTATCTGCATCTAGTTATTTTGCTCTCCTCTGCCTTGTTTTCCCTGTCAGGTTTGTAAGTATTTCCATGTCAGTCAGCCCTTGTGTTCTTGGTTTTGCTCACTAGTGTCAGACTAGCATCAGATAAAATAAAAATACAGCATTATATGGATACCTTAAATGCTGATTGTAGTGCTCTCACTAAGGAAAATGACTGCTACAATGTGTAGAGCCTTTGGTTCTTAGCAGAATTTTTATTTGCTAAAATTTGGGTTTTTAAACTCATTTGAGATCCCCGATGTGCTGTGCTGGCTCCACCCTGAGATGCACTAAGATGGCGATTGAGACAGGGCATGGTAGTGCATGCCTGTAATCCCAGCTCTTGGGAGGCTGAATACAGGCAAATCACTACAAGTCCAATCTACGTAGTTAGACCCTGTAGACCCTTACTAAAATACAAAAACAAACAAAATAATAAAAAACTGATTTGAAATTATTTCAGCTTTTACTCTAGATTCTACAGTGAATAT